CACAGGCCACAGGGAGCCCAATTTGGCTTTGGAATTCCAGGCACTCAGAAGGTTGCTTGAACTGGATCAAATTCTTTGGCAATTTCCCAAGGCATTTTCCTGGCTTTGTGTTCTGCTGATCAGGATAATGATCAGAGCAGGACTTCAGTCTATCACATGGACAGCTGTGATAGACTGAAGTCTATCTCTTTTGGCTGATTCGAAATGTTCCACAACACCAAATGACAGTGTCCCTCATCATTTCAGGGCCAAAAACCATCCTGAGAATTTTCCTTACTTGGATCCAAAAAATGAGTGATTTTTGCTGAAGGAGCAGGGTCAGATAATAAAAGCTGATCAATTAACATTGATATCAGTTTAGGCAAGTGAATCCTGCATGTCCTCATCTTCCAAAGATTTTGTTCAACATTAAGTAATGATGAAGAGATTTTCTGTAAGCAGCAGGACATTTCACGTAGAAGCAACAGCATAAATGCCACCATACACAATTCTTGCCTGTGACTGCTAGAGAATCACATATTTTTAAATGATCTGTGAAGCCACATACATGGGTTTGTACTGGGGCAGCTCCATCACCAACATCTGAACTGCAGGTTAAGGTTCATCCCAGTCAGCTGCAATACTCACAAGCAACAGAAGCACAGGGACAGAAGCCAGCATGGCTCTGCTTGACAGGATTTCAAAGCTACACTCTCACTTGAGCATCAGGAAGTTCTGCCCTATACCCTTCCTGGGCCCACAGCCTCTGGGGTGAAACAGCCCTACAAATCTGAGCCAGCTGCCATATTCCGTAGCAGAGGGTACATACGCATTCAGTCAACCTGCAACGTGAGCATCTCAAATGAAGCGTTTGAGAGCCAAAGAATTGGCCTGTTTAGCACTAAGGTTGAATACTCCTGCTGCTTATGGCCAAGCTCCTGCTGCTGCACTTCAGAGCGTTTTGCTTTGTTACGGACCCCTGATTAACACTTTCTAAGCATTTCAGCCCACACTCCAGTCACTTTGCAGATTGCAATGAATGCAGATTTGAGTTTATGGGTTCATAAAAGTGTGAATTAGCACAACAATTTTCTCCCAGCCTATTTGCAAAGCTCTTCCTTGAGTGACCTGTCCCTACAGACATCACAAATATTTCAACTCAAGCAAACTGCTCAGTGAGGCATTTTTAAGAGACTAGAATGAGATTGGTGGCCCCAGGAAGCAATGCCTGTGGAAGCACAAAGCAGGAGCATCACTGTGAAGACCAGCACTTGCATCTTCTGGCAGCACTATAAAGCATTGAGAAACAAATTCCTCTAGCCCCTGTAGGAACTGCAGTGATCCCAGCAGCTCTGGCCACTCATACAGGCCACTCACACTGGCTCTGGGCCTGGCCTTGCTATTGCCATCCATGCTAAAGAGAGAGAGGGGAACAGACCTCCCTTGTTTGTGTTGCACTGGTGCAATGTAGTCACATAGCCCTGCATCAATACATTGGTTCAGACACAAGAGACCCCAAAATAAGCACCTCACAATGACCCAGTGCTGTGTTCTCACAACACATGTGCCTCAATCTCTTCTAGCCTCTACTCTGACATCCCATATCTCTGGGCTGTGGAAAACACTGTCACCCAGTAATCTGCCCCTTTTCCTGCTCCCTCCATATCACTGGTGTGATCAGTCCTATCTCTGCATGGAGGAGGGGCTGGCTCACCAAATTTCTTTAATTAAAAGAAAAAGGATCAGGTTTATTTCAGATAAGCAGGCAGGATTAAAATAGACAGAAAGAATAGACAAGGGGCAGCTGTCAGCACTCCAGCTGATCCAGTGTGATTATTAATAACGATAAGCAGGAGAAGAGGGCTAATAAAAGGATAATGAAGTGGTCCTGAAAGTGACAGGAGATGGAGCCTGATAAGAGAGCCCATGGCATGAAGCTGTTGTGGCCCCAGTGAGGTCTGTGCAGAGCAGCCTGCTGGGGCAGATGCAAGTAACAGGGCACAAGGAGGAAATGTTTCATCTCCCCAGGGATCATGGCAGAGGGATTAGCGGGCTCAGGAACTCTGGACGTCCATGCCACACAGCTTTCATGACTGAATCAATCAGGGTCCTTCCTAGCCAACCTAGCAGGTCACACCCCTGGATAAAGCATGGCCCTGAGAGGACTGGTCTCACCAGGGCACCCAGTTGTGAATCCCCCCTGTTGCCCTGCCTTGGCCCTCACTCGGCACAGCACCATCCCTGCACAGCCCAGGACTGGAGCACCACATTTCAAAAGGGAGCACAAGTGGGGAAGCTGCAAGGAGCAGTTGCTGGAAGAGCACGTAGGCAGCATGGGGCATCTCTGCTCTGCCTGGGGATCACCCACGACTCCAGTTTCTCCTGGCTCTGTCAGCTCTCCAGGCCATGAAAGCGTCCTGTATCTCTGGCAGCTGTCCAAAAAGGTGGAAGGATGTGGCTGCAGAAAGAGCAGCCTGGAGGGCTGGCTCTGGATGCCCTTTCCTGAGGGAGAGCTCATGGGCAGATCATGAAGCACAGGCAAAGATTACCACAGCACTCTACTAGTGGTCTGGGTCAGTCAAGGGGAAATAAGGTGTGAAAAGTTATTTCCCAGAAGCCATTAAACAGAGAATGAAATCCCATCTAACACCAAATATGTCTGCTCTCTCTCTCAAGGAAAGGATCAAATCATCTGTAAAGATATGGTGGGAAAGAAGGAAGAGGAAAACTCATAGCAAGACACAACAAGTCAGATGGCTGGAGAAGGGAGGTTTTGGGCAGGGAATGCTGTGGGAGGAATTTAGGCTGTTTGGGAAAAACTGGATTAGCTTTCATTCAAAAGCTAATTCAATTCTGGTCTCTTATATCCAAACATCCCCCTCTCCCTCCCCAAGCCTAGAGCATCTCTCCTTCTTCAGAGGCAGAAATCCCGTGTCCCGGGCGGTGACAGCGCCAGGGCAGCGGGCAGGCTGGCAGCTGGGTGTGTTCCGCCGGAGCAGCCACGCCCAGCCCCGGGCACAGCGCTGCGCAAGGCCGGCAGAGCAGCGGGGATACAGGCTCTGGCTCGCACTGCCTGGCGCTCGGCTCCCGCCTCTCCGGGGCACCGCGGCAGATGCTGCGAGCATATGCCATGAATTAATTCCACTTTCCCTGAGATGCTTTGGAGAGAGGAACGGCAGTGCCTTTCCAACTTATTAACATAGGAGCTCCCCCCAACCTCCACTCACTTTATCACACTTAATAAAACAGCCAGCCAGAGTCCCTCTAAGAGGTTCTTTAATGGAAAGTTGCTGGGTCTGGCATTTTTGCAGCTTTTATTTCCTCCACTTTTTCCAGGGTTTCCTAGGCTGTCTCAGCCCCAATATTCTCATCACTGACAAACTGCACTCTAGTGAGGCACCTCCACCAAGAAAGCCTATAAATATCATATGTATTATTACAAGCAAAACCAGAGATTTCTAAAACTGATAGAACCTAGACTTAATTTTTCCTTTAGGCACTTCTTTTACTTTATCTGTGATGAGGCTCACCATTTGCCCAGTACTGCTCTGTTGTGCTCTGAGTCTGCCAGAAGCTATCAACAGGTAGATATTTACACCCATCCAGAATCCTAGCAAGTCCCTGGGCAGACACCTCATGCCAGCTCACTGAGCTCAACATGCTGTTGACACACACATACCTTGACAGGTTTGCAGCTCTTCCTCAGCAATGTAAGTACAGAGCAGAACAAAGCAAGACTGCTCTACATTCAATTGCCACGTTTGAATTGAAGATGAAAAACGCTTGCCAGGTACATGAAAGCCATGTTGGAACTGGGAACCTGAGGTCCTTAATTTCTAAGCCTGATTCTGCCAAAGATTCATTGTGTGGCCCTAAGCACACCACTGTACCTTGCATTACCCCTCTGCAATACAGGGTCTGTGGAGACCAGCAAAGGAATACTACTCTATGCCCTGGCCAGGCACAGCCCAGAGGGCTGATCTGAGTTCCTAGGAACTGGGGACACAGTTCTTACCTCACGTGAGGCTCAACCAGAGCAACTGCTTTGCAGTCTAGAGGGAAAAGTTACACCTGCCATTTCCTCTCCTGCATGCTCTTTCCACAGGACTTGTCAGAACTGTGGGTTCCCGAGGCAGCTTTGTCACAGCCAATACACACTGGTGCATGACAAGCTTGGGCATGAAAAAGCAGCTCATTGTTCCTCTTTAGTAAGGACAGTAACTTGTGTGTGACAGCACCAGGACCTGAGAAAGAAGCAACAGGTCTTACTCATCTTCCCAACACTGCAACTAAAACACAACTGTGGAAGGAAGGTGGGTGGGAACAGCTTACTGGAGAAGGGCCAGGAGCCTGACACCCACCTCCCCTCCTCCAGCTGTGCAAGGAGTGGAAGAGACATGGAAACAAGTCTCAGTCTATTAAGTTTATTGAAGGAAATTAAAGAGACAACCTGATCCCAGTGCACATAAATACTGAAGCAAGGAGAAAATACCTGACAGCATGGCTGTGGAAAGGTGAAAGCAAGCAGGCTCGAGAAACAAAAGATGAAACTCAAAAACTGAGTCTAGAAATAAAGCAGATTTTAAACCATAAGGGCAATAATCTATTAAAAAGTAACCATGAAGGAGTTTTAAATATATTGTCTACCTTTCTAAAACACAAGCAAACCTCAGCCCCCTCTCACAGGACTCTGCCATGGCATATATTATAGCAGGTGAGGCTAAATAATCAAAGATACCTCTTCCTGACATAAAATAGATGAGTTTGGCATTTTTTTTCAAGCCCATCTCTCCAGCTCTATACTCAGGTGTTTGCTGGGTTACCAAGGTCCCAGACTGGGCACAGGACTGGCCCTGCCCAGGGTCCCCAGCTGCCCAAAGCACCCATATTTTTTCCCTCTCAGACCAGCTTGTTGTCTGATTTACTAACCTATTTTAGTTTGCCGAATTAATTTTTTTTTTCCTGGATGTACAAAGCATTCTAAATTCTCTTTGGCCAGGAATCATAAGTGTCACAGAAAAGTAGGTGCCAGCTCAGCTGTGAAGTTTCTGCTCCTACCAAAGCAGGTTTTTCTGCTCAGAGAAAGAGTTTCAGATTATCTTCCATACAATGACCTCCCAAGCTTATGCCTCACTTAGTTTTCTACTTATAGGAGAGATGTTTTGGTTGTAAAAAACTTACAGTTTCCTTAACACAGATAAGTCTCCCATTATTTTTGTGGCCCCAGAGTGGGGCCAACTCCTTTTTTGTTGGTAAAGTTGTTTGGCATGTCAGCTCTCACCTGAAATTCTGCAGAGTAGTGAAATCACAGTGAGCTATTTGACCTGTCCTGCTGTCACAAAAGTGGGAATGCAGTGCTCTGTTAGACCAACCAAACAAGCAAAGAAAAGCAGCACAGCAAGCTTCCTCCCAGCACCTGCACTCCACAGAAGTATATAGCAAGATTCTCCAACAGGGCAAGGCTCTGAAGGACATTGGTTTAGACGTAATGTTACTGTTTCCTGCAAATAATCACCACAGTTCTACAGGGACAAGGTATTAACAGCAAAATGAGTTTTTCTTTATATAGATGACAATAAGAGTGAGTTACTTGGTTCCAAGGAGACACCCACCAGGGAGTTACCTTATTTGAGAGCATCAGGCTCCATTCTTTCATGCACGTGGAATAAACATTTTCTTTGCAAAGTACCCATGCCTGAAGCAATCTCCATTCAGGCTGTGGTTTCATGTGATTGCAAAAGCTAAGTGAGGTTATGCCTGGTCAGAATTTAGCTGGGAAACCTCAAGGTATAAAGAGGGGCTGTAACAAGTGGAAGTTTAATAGGTGGTGCTGCATCCTGAGTCAATACAGAGGTAATGTTCCAAGAGAGAGGTTAAACTAACAAGGAAAGGGTGCTGGATGAAATGTAAATCAGATATCCTGAAAACTTGAGGTGTCTGTTGTGAGGAAGATGGTAACCTGGATGTCCTATGAAAATAAGTCATATCAGCCCAAGCTTCTCTGATAGCCATCAGAGCAAACCACACTCCATTGTATGATGGTCCACTCCAGAGAGGCTGCGTTTCTATAGAGAAAAGATCAACCATTGCAGTTATCTGTAGAGGTGCTACTGAGGTGGAATAAGTAAATATTTACTTTATAAGTAAATATTTTATTGTGTTTAGAATTCTTAATTTCTTTTGAGAAGAAAAATTCTTATTAAAAAATAACCAAAACTTCTCCCAAGAGAATTTTTCTATGAAGCAAGGTCCTATTTATTTTCACGTCTGAAATATATTCTCAAATACAAACAAGTGAATAGAAAATCTAGGTGCTTAACTATTTACAGAAGATGGATGTATGAGACATCTGATGTGTCAGAGCTCTATGGGAGACTGAGGTGGTCCTCCCTCTCCGACTGTCCCAGGTCCCACTCAGTCACTAGTTCTGATGACACCTCTGTGAAGAGATGGTCCCAATCCCAGCTGACATCATCCTACCAAGAGGAAAAAAGACAAACATGCTGAAATGTTACTGTGTTACCCAAATTTCTCTGAACAATGCCAGAACAGCAAAGAGAGAAACCAAAAGGCCCTGACCAGGGAAGTCTCAGATTCAGCTGGCTAGACCAGTAATACTAGCCAGAAAGAAATGTGAATATCTGCTACAATTTTAAAATGTGGACAAAATTATTCATGTTCTAAAATTCCAAAAAGGACGTATTTGTTGACACTTGTTAATATTAGATACTCCCATGCAGGGCACAGAAAGAAGCCCTTCCATTCTTCTCCACTTCTGCTGAAGCATGTGCAGCTCAAAGCTGCAGAAATCCTTTGTTGCAAGGCCTGAGCTCCTGCCCACCCAGTTGTATTGAGGTTGTTCTGTCCCGCTTTAAAAACCCCCTGCCCAAACCCAAAATGCCTTCTGCCTTTGTCCCTCTGTACTTTTCTGCAGAACCACCTGTAGCTCATGGTGGCCACCAAAGGACAAAGCACTGTTTCTGCAGGGGTCTCTGACAGTACCAGGCCTTGCACATTTTCCTGACCAGCTCCTTCATACTGGCCAATCATAGTGATGCCATAAACTCACACCAAGAAAGCACTATCTATCTTAAAAATCACCTGCTGGGGAAGTCAAACCTCCAACAGCTTGGACAAGCTCCTTCTCACATCTCTTCTCTCCCCCACTGACAAGGCTTCCTTTCCTAGTACAGTCTCAGACAAACAAGAAACTTTTACCTTGTTGGTGTTCCACAAAACAAAGACTTACCTCTCGTAGCTCATGCTCTGGAGCCAAAACTTTGGTGAGGAGCTTCAGGTCTACCTCCCCATCCTATGAAAATTCAGAGTTACAGTCTTACAGACATTGGGAAAATGAACACCATCATTTCACCAGATACATTTGTTAGACATTGCCACATTTGCCTCATAAGGGTAACTTTGTCCAGGACAACAGCAAGAACCTCATCTGAGAAATAGATACCACATGCACAATATTTACAGACACAAGTACAAAAGCCATGTTGCAGAGAGGAACAGACTTACAGGGAGACTGCAAGTTCTCTGGATGATAAGGCTGTGTATTTTGTGCAGCTGAGTACCACTGTGGAGGATGACATGAGCCCAGAAGGAGAGGATTCACATTGGCCAGCCCATAGCAAAATCCACTTACCAGAGTCTGGAAGGCAGCATATTTCATTAGATCTTTGTCCAGGTCATGGTAGGTCAGCACTCGGTTCACCTGCACACTGCAGCCAGAAAGGGTCAGAGAACAAGCCAGTGTCAGTGTGGAAGCACATGTGAGGAGAAGGGTGTCATGAACAGTCATCTGGTGACATCTCGAGTGTCCACATCCCCCATGCGGACTCTTGGGATGGATGTACCCAGACAGAAGCACAGCTCAGTCAGCAAATGAACAGTCATTGACAACTCTAAGTACCAGAGCATGCACATGCATAAAAATAGGATGTGGCACAACCATGAACTCCTCAGAGAAACCAGCATGCCAAAACAAGATCCACAGACTAGTTGGGCTAGAAAGAAGAGAAGAACATAGTGAGCATTCAAACAGCCCCAGTGTCTTAGCAAAGGAACCTCTGAGAGCAACACCATACAAGCTAGAGAATAGTAGGGATTTTTGGCTTTTTATGTCTGAGCTGCATCAGAGCTATTAAATATGACTTCCTAAAATGTAGCCTTCCAAGAAAAACATGCTGTAGGGGGGTGATACACTGTGATACACTGGTACCACACCTGCCTTCACAAGTGATCCAACACTATAGAAAAGACTTCTATTAATTTAATTTTCTTGTGTTTGTCCATGAAAATCACTTGTCTTTTCTACTGCAAGAAAACTATGAATACAGGAGGATCTGATCACTTTATTGAAAAAATAAAGAGAGAGCAAAAGAAATTAATTCCAGTGAGAGACACAGTAATTTTAAATTTACTACATAAACTGTCAATTACTTTTGTTAACAGCTATATAATTACAATTATTACTTCTCACTGGTGGGAGAGGCATCTGTGGCCATGGCCAGGCCATCCTACCCCTCCAAGTAAGGATCAACAGAAATCCCAGTCTGTGACCTTGGCAATAGGCCCATTAGAGGAAAGAAGACTTTCCTGGTATGTTTAAGACAAAACGCCAAAAACTTTCATTTCTTAAAACTTTCTGGTCTCTCTTGAGCTGACTCCAAGGCTACTGCAACAGCCCCTTCAAACAACACTTTGAAGATTGTACTTTGCAAATTAACTATGCACTTGAGTAAGAAGAATATCCTGTGGAGGACAAAGCAGCCTACAACCATCAAAATTAAAGTATGTGTGATAATGCATGTGCATTGGAGACATTTGGGGTTATGCAGACAACCTTAAATCAAGAAATTCCCTACTTTTGAGAGTTTGATTTTGCAACATCAAATACATAATTCTAATTTAGGTTTTTTATATAGAGAGAGAATATGCATTATTTGCTTTCTCTGTGTAATAGGAAACAAGAATTTTGCACTGTTCAGCTTGCAGCACTACTGTCACAAAAGACCACACCAAATCCTGCTGAACAGCACTGCTGCTGACATCCAGAGCATGAGTAAGATGGGTTTAATTTCACTAGCCAGTTTGCACTGCTGATGAGAGCCTCAAGAGCACCTGGCAGTGCTCTTACCTGGGGGGAGCTGCCACTTGCATGGCCAGATCTTCCTCCTGGACATCCTCCAAGTCAGGGATCACAGGAATGTCTGCAACAAGAGAAAGCAGCAGCAGTAAGTGGGGAGTGTTGTGCTCTCCTCTCACTGAAGACAAAGGTTCCATTGCTTCACAGATATGAAGCACCCTGTTTCTTATTAGAGGGAAACACAAAACAGTTATTTAGCAATAATTAAAAATATATTGTTTAATGTTTAAACAAGGCAATTAAACTTTGAAGTCTGAGGTCACAAGAAATCTTGCAAGAGGAACAGATTAATCCAGGTAAGGCTCTATAGGCCATGTACTGTGCATCTGAACACAACCTTGAAGCCAAAAGAAGCCCCCTGTACCACTTGCTGCCTATGTTGCCATCATCAACTGACAAGAATTTGTTTGTTATGTGTTATAATTTATTCAGACAGCAGTCATCTAGACTGTTAAAAATGAAACGTGGGGCAGAAACTGAGAGAGTCCACATGTTGAAGGATCTGCTGTTTGGGTATCAGGCTGTGCAGAGGCCTGTGGACCTTCCTCAGGAGGGAAGTGCTAATGGTCTAGCAGATACAAACACTAGGGAACACGTCTGGTGTTTTGTCACAAACCTTTTTCATGACTTCTAGTATCATCCTGGAATGGCTGAAGTTCACTGGGTATTCCCAGTACAAGGAGAATGGCTACTCCAAATAAAAAGGATGCTAGAAACAGAAGAATTGAGGATAGGAGGAAGAACTGAGTGTGCTTTGCATCTTACAAAAGAAGCAAGGCCCTGAAAGCATTGCACAGTCTGTCATTTGATAAAGCACTGCAAAAAGTTAGTGCAAAAAAAGGAGAAAGAGAAGGCAAAGTAACTGGAGGCTCAAAGCAAGAACAGAGTACACCAATACAGAGCTCTCTTAAAGACTCGAGGCTGCAAAGGCTCTCCAGAGACCCCAAGCCCTCGAATCATGGAGAAGCTGGTTTGGCTCAGGGAAAAGGTTCCACTTGCCCAGTAAGCAGGCAGAGCTGGCTCCTTCAGCACTGGAATGAGCAGCCTGCTCCCAGATCTGCCAGCAGCAACGCTACTGCTGGATGGCAGCAGGCAGCTGAGCCTGGCTTTGCCCCGTTTTCCAGCCCAGGCTGAGATGAATATTCAGGAGCTGGAGAGACATTCCCACCTATGGTGCCTGGTGGCAGGGCTCTGGGCAGGGTCTTCCCGAGAAGCCCCCAGTCCGGCCGCCTGTCAGAGCTGCGCAGAGCCTCAGCTGCCCTCCCCTGCTGCACGTCCGCCTGTGCCCCTGCTCGCCGGGCAGGAGGCAGCCCTGGCCCAGCTGCAGCAGGGCACGGGTCAGCCGGGCCCCGGCGCAGTGCCCCGCCGGAGCTGGCCACACAGTGGGATTTCTCGCTAATTGGTTGCCTGAGGAAGGCTGAGCGGGACAGGGGCTGTCACGAGCATGGCCACAGCAAGAGGAGTGACAGCTTGGCCGGCCTCAGCAGAGCCGTGCCTTCTAGCTTCCAAGGAGCAGGTGCCTTTTGAAGAGGTTCTCCAACTGCAGCAAACTTCCCGAAGACATTTAAAGGGAAACTGCAGCAACAGCCCCTAGGCTGTCCGTAAGGCAGAGGAGGCAAGTGCACAGAATGTCTCATCGCTGGCCATTTGGGGCAGATCTCCCCAGCTCTGCTTGTGAGGACAATACCTTGTAGAAGCTGCTATCCCACTGGCTCCTTTCTGCAGAAGCTCCCAGCTCTTGGTAAAACTGGTACCAAAATGCACTTATGGGACAAAAGCATCTCCAGGGACAGACAGACCAACATGCGGAGGCAGCTGGTAAAATCTGCTCAGGGATAATGTGGGAGAAAGTCCCTGTATATAAGCAACAAGGACCAAGGAGGGAACAGACTGTCCAAGGAGGGGAATGAAGCTCTGTGCAGAGGTGCCCTGTTAAGTCCAGGAAAATGAGCATGGGAATGAGAAACTGTTTAACCTCTCCTGAACTAATTTATTCTTTTATGATGAGACTATGAACATTTCTCAGCAAGCACAAGTAAATTAAAAGCTACCTGGGAACAGAGCTGTCTTCACCCACAGAGCAGGAGAAGGTCAGATCCTTATCCACTTTTGACAGCAGAAATGTAAAAGGTGTTTGCAGGAAACTGAATTTCTTCACTCAGTGCTCATTTTGGCAGCTATTTCAGGAGTCTTCTCTTGCCAGTTCTCTTTTGTTTTTGTTGATCTCTTTTTACACTAGAAAAAGCTGTAAACTTAGGGCCCTGATCAGTGATGTTCCTTCCATTTTGTAGGTTCACAAAGACTCCTGGGTTCTCTAGTGCTGATTTTATCTCATTGCCAGTGAATTCCATGGAGAGATTTCTAAACCCCTTGCAGAGCACGACCTCCACTCTATTAGCAAAATTCAGGCGATCACTTAGAAATTCTTTCCAAAAGAAATTCTATATTTTATAGACACTTTGAAAATATTTCAGACAGAAGAGTTGGAAAAGCTCTGGGGGCCCCTGCCAGCCCCTCCAACAAAGGCCAGTGCACGCTTGTTCTTACTGCAAAGTGCAGATGCCTTGTCCATTTCTAGGCAGAAGCAATGCCCTTTAGGACTGTGAGACTGACAGGAAACAGTACATAAATGTCTCCAATTTTAAGAAAATATCAGGTCCCTGGGCTAACTGCTATCAGGGACAAATAGTTCCTGAAATATTTGGGTCTTTATTTCACTTGTTACTCATAACTACCGCTTCCCTCTGCCAATTCCCATGGTGCCAGTTCAGCAGAATCCCTCTCCCTTCTGTCTGTACAGTTTGCAAAGAGTCTCAGCTCTCGCTCATCAGCAAGGACCCAACCTTACCCCCACTGATTCTCCAGCCTCTTAATTGTTTTTATTGCTCTTCTTGAGATTCACATCTTTTTTCCTATAAGCTCTGGTAACACAGCTGTGTCGTGTCAGAATAATTTTTCCTTAAATAATAGGAAAAAAGATTCACATCTTTTTTCCTATAAGCTCTGGTAACACAGCTGTGTCGTGTCAGCTGCAGGGGGATAGCACAGCACGGGCTGTTGTGCTGCAGGGGTAGGCATATGCTCTACTTTTAATACTCCCACTAGCTGCAGGGAGGCTTTACATACAACATTAGTACATGCAGAAATGTTCACAGGACCATGTCCTCCCAATCCACTGCAACTTTTTCCGACAACAAAGTTGTATAACAAACCCCCACTCTGTGTGCTTTGTCACCCGCATTTTTCCTCTCCTGTTCAGTGTGGGGATTTCAGATCATTTTCCATAAACCTGTGCTTCTGGTGCAGAACCTTAACACATACATTACTGGCCAAGCTCTCATGCCCATGTAGGCACACCTCAGAAATGACTGCAAAAAAGGACACACCTTCACAGATACCAGCTCAGTGCAGTGAACAAATGGCCTGTGCAAAGATGAGTGAGCACCAAACGCTAGATGACAAATGCAAACTCCCCTCCACCTCCCAGATGGTTATGAACAAGTGAACAAAGAATGAAATCAAAATGAGCTTACTCATATGGAAGTTATGGTGTGGCAGGAGATACCAGTACCAAGTCGGCTAACTGGGGGGTTAAGTCACTGCACAAAACTGATTGTCCCAGAACATCTAAGTCCCAGCATATAATTCAGAATAATATTTTATTTGAACAGCTGAACTTAGCCAGGTCTTACACAAAAAGAGCTTTGTGACTAAGTTATGGCAAGGCACCAATGCTGTAAGACAGAAGTGTGTGAATGGGAGGAGGAGAAGATGGAGGGGAAAGAGTAAAGGCAACCCATGCTATATGCAGACAGTCAAAAAATTTTCAAGTCATACAGAAAGGAGAGCTTTATGTCTTCATATTAAAGTACATGTACTAAACATCACCTTTTTTACCTCTTAGCAAATAACTTACTGACAGGCAAAGAAGACAACCACAGAAGCAACAAGCAGGAGATGGGAGAATCAGTACCAATCTAATACCCAGCTGCTCCTGAAAGTTGGTAAATTGCACCTCCCCTCCCAGGCATGGTTGATTTTTGGTTTAGTAGCAACACCTGTAGGCTGGGTCTCTTAAAATCCTGTAAACTCACAGTAAGATCTGGTCCTTGCCCCAAAGAACTAAGTTGTCTGCTAAATACAAGATGGCACATGAATAGGGACAGATAAAATCTCTTCCAGGAACAGACAGGACAGACAGAACCTCTTCCAGATCAGGCAATAAATCACTGGCAAAGCTGCATTTAGAAACCATGTTCCAGTTCAGGTTGCAGTTAGTAAGAGTGTGCTGCTTACTCCCTAAGCTGCTTTAAGAGTACCCTGAGCCTCCATCCTGGCACCCACACACAAAGAAGACTCCATCTCACTCAGTCTGATCCACTTCCCCAGCTGGGTCAGTGTTTCAAAGGCCATTCAGAATGGACACTTTTGTGGTGAGTACTGTGTTGCCCTCCCTCTGCACACACCACCATATCCAGAGAACACAAAGAGGGCAGTGGCCTCTGGAGCTGGCAGTCTCCTACCATCAAGCAGGTATAAAAATGAACTTTATTTTATGTTGCTTGCTTATAAAATGTAAAACTGAAATAATTACAATACCTCTGCTGCTGCAAAACTTTGTTTTACTGAATGCTGTTACCTTCTGCATCACGTTTGGGGAATTTTAAACAGGCAAATGGAAGGTCTGATTGAAGATGAAGTTAAGTGAAAGAAATTGGTCTCATTTAGCACATGACAGGATTCATCTGTGTTCCCAAGTCCACTGAGGTAGCATCATGGGCGTTTCATATTCATGAGCTGCTGCGACACTGTGTCCCCTCATTTACAAAGCACCGTGTTCAGCAAATTCTGTCCCTGTGGACACTCTGTGCATTTCATGGTCTTGTCAGAGAGACATCAAACACTTCAGTAACCAAATACCAGAAAACGGCTTTAATTAGTGCATCTCAATGTAATAAATAATTTTTCTAAGTGGAAAAATGGAGAATTAAAAAAAAAAAAATAAAAAGTGGAAAGCAACAGGCAAAAAAAATCGTCAAAAAACCATAAAGAACAAGGGACACA